TTTGGAACCTTTTTTTTTTGTGCTTTTTTGTTAAGATTTTTGCCATAAATTTTTATATAGGCAAACTACCAAAATATACTAGACATAATGATAAATTTAAACAAAACTTAATTTGAATATGTTGATATTGTAGTATAGGTATAGTCGATCAAATTCATATAGACCATATCTATATCATTCAGAATATAATCGCAAATGCAGTATAATTCAAAATACAATCATAAAAAAATATATATCATTATTATTATATTACTAATTACGTTCAAATCAAAACTTTATCACTACCAAAATCAAAAATTTATCAAATCTGCCAAACATTCATTCAGTTAATTTTTTGCCAGATATCCCAAAATAATGAAAATAGCTGTAATTTACAGCTATTTTAATAATTCCTGAAATATCTGATAAAATTTACTGAATAATTTTTTGGCCGATCTGATTAAGTTATCAGCATATAAATTATATTACATATATAGTAATTATATATGTTTCTGCATAAACTAAGTATACTAAATATGTTGGGCAAGTATTCAAATGAAAATTTAATAGTATTGAACATGTTAATATTTATAATATTAAAATTATCTGCAGAACAAGTATCATATCTTTTATATAAGGGGTAGAAACTTGCGTAATTTTATATATACGTTTCTAGAATATAATTTTTGTATATATGTATGTAAATAGCGTTGACCAAAAATTTCATAGAGTAGGCACATAAAGTTTAGTAGTGCTAGTAAAATCTTTATAATAATAATATAACAATGCATTATTAGTTATCTAATGTAAAAGTTATGTGTAATTTTATTTATTACATCAAAATTACAAACTTAATCGAATTGGCTAGAATAATTCAAACAATTTTTATCAGATGTTTCAGGTATTATGAAAGTTGTAAACACATAATAGCCTCAGGTCTCTTTATAATATCTGGGCCCGGCCTATTATTTTACAAGCCTGGCCCAAACTCAGCCCAATTAATCATATGCTTAAAAATTTGGATCTAAGCCTAGTCCGAGCCCAACCCAACTTACAAATTATTGGGTTTGGCCCAACCTGTTATACACCCTATTAGAAAGTAAACAATACTAATTGTTTTGGTATATATAATATCAATTTTTTGAAAAAAGTAAACTAAAAATTTATTTTTATAAAATTTTTTTTAAAAAAAAGTAGAGGCCAACAAGGTTCTTCTTGTAAGAGTAATAGTTGTATAGTCTAGTTTTTTGGTTTCTATTAAATATTCTTGTCCAGAGATCTGTAATAACATTGTTTTTAAAATATCCTTTTGGTTTAGATATTAAAGATATAGAAGAGTTTACTTTTTTTCTTTTTGCTATTTTAAGAGACTTCTTTAGTTTAAATACAAAATACACAGAGGAGTTTACTAAAAAAATGAAAATAAGGTTTGATCTTTATATAAACTATCTACAATACTCATATCTTAATATATTATATTTAAAAACTTTATTGACAATAGTTTGTAGAAAAAAAGCTTGATTCAAGATACTGAATTTGCTTTTATTATATATCTGCTTTTTAGTATTTCATATATATAAGCTTTGTTAATAGCAAGTTTGCTTGTATAGTATAAGAGTATTTTTGTATCTATTTCATTACTTTTCTATAAATATAGAATCAAGCTAAACTACCCGAATCCAAGCCTAATCTGAACTACAAAAGTTTTGAGTTGGGTCTATATTTTTAAGCCTATAATTATATTAGATTAGGCTCAAGCTAAGCTTGTTAAATTATTAGACTGAGTTGGGCTTTATAAAAAAGTCTGCAAAATATAAAAAAAGCCTATTAACTATTAGATAACTTGTTGTAACTCAGGATAGTTAAATTAACCAAGCCATTGTTGCTTCACAAAACCTTGCAATTGATTAAATATTATATTGTATAGTATAAGTACTTATCACTATATTTGTATATTTAATTGATAAGATTTTTTTTATACATAGTCTATTACTAGTTTAAAAAAAAAAATAAAAGTAAAGTTATAATGAAGATTGTTAACAAAATAACAAAGAAACTATTTTTAATAATCAGTAAATTTAAAAGTTAAGTAGGTTTAAATTATTTTTCTCTTCACTATTTTTTATTTTAGATAACTTGAAGCTAAAGTAATGATAAATACTTGGTTTAACAAGTCAAATCATATAATAATAATAAGCAATATAAAGATCTTGCTTAGTAATAGTTAGGTTTTATAGTAATAATAATAGTGCAAAGATCTTGTTTGGTAATATAGTTATATCTAAGTTATATCTCCACTGGGTTATATCACAATCTAAGTTATATCACCATATTTAAGCAGAATAAATTTCTTTTTTTTATATGTTTTATATATTTTATATAATGTATTATATCTCTATCTTAATTATATCTCCAAAAATGCTCTGAAAAAAAGAGGTGATATAGCTAAGATTTGACTGTAATTAAAAATCGCAGATATAGTAAAAATACAAAACCTTTATAAGATAAATTTTGGGCTTCATACTGCAATAGCAGACAAAAATCTATTTTTTAAATCTAGTAATATCTTTATCACTTACAAATTACTAAATAATTTATTATCTTCAAAGCTATATAGAACTCTCTTTGATAATCTGTTTCTGTACACTTAGATATTATAGTTTGTTAGAGATTAAGTTAGTGTTTTATAGGTGTAATAGTTGAATATATTGTAATATAGACAAAATTTTATTAGTATTTTTTTATATATTTCTATTAATATTTTTTTTAAATTTTATTATATATTTTATATTATTATTATATATTTTAGTTTATTTATATAGTTTATAGTCAATTTTATTTATTTTAAGTATTTTTATAAGTACTATTTATTCTCCGGGACAGTGGGAATAAATAAGTTATTCTACGTACCATATAACAACATGATACCGATTAATATTATAAATCACATACCTATCACTACAAAAATAAACTTTAGACCAGATATAAATACAATTTTTTTTTTGCGAAATTACATTTCATCTTTCGTTGAATTTTTACCTTTCGCATTTTTTATTTACTAGAATTTTACTTTTTTCGCTTAGATTTCTTTTATTAGTTTTTTTTTATTCAAATAATGAATCAAGATAAATTAAATTTTACTTTGGCTGCACAACTATATAACTTAAGGTCACATAAACAAACAAGTAATTCATTCAATTCAGATACTACTGCTACTTCTACTGAAGATATTAATGATGATCTTAACAAATCCAGTAATGACGAGGTCTATACATTTATTTATTTATTTATTTGTGAATTATATAACTTATATAAATTACTATATAATTCTTTTTTTAGAGACGATTTGTTGCACCTTCTCAAAGTGATATTGATCATACAATGAATTATGCTATTGTAAAGAACACAATTCATAATACTCAAACTTGGGTTAATGCGATTAAGAAATATTTCAAGGATACAAACCTTACGGGTGATATTACACAGATTAAAGATTACTCAGAATTAGAAAATATTCTTATCCAATTCTTTGTAGCTTTAAAAAGAAAAGATGACAAACCTTATACATCTACATCAATCTATAACTGTTATTGCAGAATTACATGTTATTTGCAAATAAACTCATGTCAAGATCCTAAACCAAATATACTTGATAAAAACCAATTCTCACGTTTATTTGCAACAATTGATGGAAAAATCAAATTGGTTCAGGATACAAATCCACAACAAGCAAATAAAAGCAATTCACTTACTCAAGATGAAATAATTCAAATATTGAATAATGAAAATCTTTTAGAAGACACACCAACTTCTATTACATATCGAGTATATTTTTGGTTGTGTCTTCTAGGTAGATTACGAGGTGGAGATGCTAAGCGACTTAAATTTGATCATGTTAAAGTGAATACAGATAAGACCTTAAAAATTACTATTCCTCGTGAGAAGAATCATGCAGGTGGTTTAAAAAATCTTAGTAATGCAGGTCAGGTATGTCAAATACTTTCTGATACGTATGATAAGTTTACTTCTGTTTCAGATATTTTATATTACATTTTCGTCGAGGAACTTACTTTAAATCTGAAGAATTTTTTCTTCAAATCGCTTCTGATAATAGTATTTTATTTACAGTAAAGTTTTTTATTAATATATTTTTTTCTAATTAAATTTTTTTTTTATAGATTTTGCAAAAGGCATTTGGTTTTATGATGCTGGACTTGGACGACATTTGCATAAAAAGATGATTAAAGAAATTTGTCAAAAAACAGGAGTTGTTGATATAAACCAAAAAAAATAACTAATCATTCAATGAGAAGAAGTGCAATACAAATACTTACTCAACTTAATGTAACAACGGATCATATAATGGTATTTAGTGGACACCGTTCACTTGGTGGAGTTGCATCATATCAAACATTTACGAAAGAGATAATGAATAGTACTGTTTCAATGATTATTCTAAAGCAAGATTTAAATCAAGATTCATATCAAGATTCAAATCAAGATTCAGGCAAGTTTATTTTATATATACGTATTATTAATATCATTATCAAATTTATATTTTTTACAAATGAATATTTCTTTTAGTTTCTTCAAGATTACTATTAAAGTCTCTTCCAATTGATCATCATCCAATTCGATCTAAAATTTTCAAGTCTAAACCTTTCAAGCCATATGACATCTCAAAGCCTTTTATTAGTCCAGTCAAGAAAAGTAAAGAGAATATTCCCAAAAATGTTCAAGAGAATGCTCAAGAAAGTTTTCTGCCTTCTAATTCTAATCTGATTGAAAGTGCACCTAAAATTATGGTTGAAAATTGTAAAGATTGCAATATTGATATCAAAATTTCTTTTAATAAGTAATTAAATTAGGAATATTTTACTGTAATAAATTGTGATAATAAATTAAAAAGCTTTTATTATAGAGGCCTGGTCTAATAACAATTTTACAAACTTTTGCTTCCAATACTATATAAATTTTAAAATATCTTCGATCTAATATAATATAATTTTAATAAATTTTCGTCACAATACAATATAATTTTTAAAATATCTATAATTCGGTTCAATAACAATTTTAATTATCTCACCGAGATAATAAAAGCAAACCCGGAGTGATAATAATTAATAAAAAAAACTCATTATAAGCATAGTGATAAATATTGTGATTTATAATATGCAAATCCCCATCATGCGATTATATTGGGACGTGGAATAATAGTTTATTACATATTTTATTAGTAC